CCCCAGGTCTCTGAAAATGTGTCATTTGTCATTGGGGAAGCAAATTACATTCATCAGAATCCATTCATTCTCCCAGTATCACGGAACAGAGGATAATCTTACTGTGTCAGCAGCCGGAGGACTGGTAGACATGATAAATGGAGGTTAGCTGCAGATACTCCAAACCCACTCCATGGCGTAACCCTCTTCAGGGGCAGTGGGTACAATGCTGGGAAAAGATTAATAGAATTTATGTTACCATGTTTATGGGGTATAAAACCCAAAACTGTGGATGAATGGATAGCTTGGTGGAAAAAAATACATCTTTACTCCTTAATGCCTTGATGGGTGAGTTATACTTGACATCAGTGAAAATATATAGAAAGATTGCCTTTAGAGAGTCAGGTTTTAAAGGACTTTTTGACCTCTAAGTCAATTAAATAGATTTTTGATTGTTGACCAAGGCAGTCAGTCATAAGACTTTCAACCTATTAAAAAAAATCATTGAAGTATAACATACAGGTAGGAACATAGCTCTTAAGTGCAATCTTGATGAATTTTCACAAACTGAGCACATTTATGAGGCTTGTATTTAGATTAATAGGTTCCCAGGCATTCTTCTCAGTCCCTTTTCACCAACCCTCAGCCCAGAATAATTGTTACACTGTGTTCTAGGCCCATGGAGGATTTTGTCAATCTCAATCATGTTTTTGAACTTCATAGAATTATCCAGTGTGTTCTCATTTCCTGATTTTTTTTTAACTCAATATTATGTTTGCCTGTATTATTGGTTAACTTGTCATTCTCACTGTTATGCAATATCTCATTATATAAATCACTGTTTACCCACATTAGTATTTTGGGGCATTTAAATAGCTTCCAACTAGGAAGTATTACAGATAGTGCTGCTGTATTATTCTGGTAGGTGTCTTTCGTGAACTTATGTGCATACTCCTAGATTGTCTACCTAGGAGTAAAATTGCTGCGTCAGAGGGTATAAGCCAATTCAACTAATTCATTAGATATAGCCAAATAATTCTCCATAGAATTATTTTTAATAATTATTTTTGTCAATTCTACTCCCAAAAGCAATATAAGAAAATTCCTGTTAATCCACATCCTTACCAACACTTCATATTTTTTTCTTGTAAAAAAAGATTTTAACTCTTAATACATCTTAGCTTATAAGTAGCATTATTGTTACTATGGTGAACTTACTACTGAGCACCCTATTTTAAGCATCAATATGGAACTAAAGAACCATTGTTCTCAGCATAGTATCAATGAAACAACAGTTGGTCATGACGAATGGCTCACGCCTTTCACGTAATTGTTTTCTTACTTTGCAAAGTTATCCAAACTCATAATTGTGTTCTCATGTCTGTGAGTAGGCACAAAGGAGAGTTTTATATTTTCCTAAAGAAGCTGTTTTCTTTTAATTTGTTTCTAGAACTTACTATCCTTGAAAAAATATCTGCCATATACTCAAGTTTGTTTTCTGCATCTATTCTGCAGAGTTCCAACTATATGTTATAACCTCCACCATGTGGTGATTGGGCAAAGATGAGCATCACCGAGTTCCCTATATGGTTCTAATAGAAGGTGTGATAAGGACAACTGTCAATTGTTAATTCCTATCTATGTTGCCCTTTGTATTACTTACAATAGAAGAATATCAGGTTTCTGACTAAGTATTTCTATGTTTTGTTCATGAAGCTGCAGTTTGGACAGGTTCGGCAAGATGAGCTCTTTTTGGTTCCATATGACATTCATCTGGGCTAGCTTATAAGTAAAAACTGACTATAGTAATGAACCTAATGTAGTATATACACATGTTGAATTTTAAAGCACGTACATCTGAAACTCATATAATGTCATAATGCAATGCTACTGTGATTTGTAAAGACAGGAGCTATAGTCATGTAAAGTTTACTCAATTTCAATCAGGGCTATTCGCCAAAACAGCAGTGTGTGACTCCTCCAAGTAGTCTTCCCAGCTTTTTTATGGCATGGCAACTGGACACATGAGTAAACCTCCCAAGAACACCAGACAAAATCTGTAACACCATTTATGACATGAATTCACACATCACATAATCATTTCCAGATTCAAAGGAAGAAATAAAGCTTCTGCCTCACAATGACAGGTGCCTCAGCATTACATTGTAAGGAGTGCTCTGTGCCATCTTGGAAAAGACAATAAGTGATCAATACCCATGATGAGTTGATGAACAGAGCTTGTCAACCAAATGAGCTCATGGCCAACAGAAACCCTGGAGAATATGTTTATACACACATATGTTAATGCAGAGATATGCATAATCACAACTTGGCAAATGAGGATAATTGCTGGATTCCACTAGCTTCCAAGATATTTTCAGTGTCATGCCTAAGGGTAAAGGCAGGGAACTGGGCCACTCAATTAGTTTAAAATGAAAGTACTTTTCCCTCAACACCCATTTTCTCTCTGGAAAATACATCAGACAACTGAATTTTGGACCCACACCTTTTCCATGGTAACAAAGCCTGAAGTGCTAAAAGAGTATCTTCTAATGCTCTGCAAAACTGAAGGAATCTTGTATAGTATATGTGGTGTTTAAAAGAACACTTAATAGCAGTAAAAAGCATCACCATTTATTCTCTCCTTCCACAAGCACATATACTCACTCATACATAAGCAACATGAATGTTAAAAAAATGGTTCAATAATTTATACTAAGGGGTAATAAAAATAAAGGAAAATGGGTAAAAATGAGACTCTCAGCTTAATCTTGTTAGCTCTGCTATTAGTCAAATTGCCTTGTTTTGATTTTTTTTTTTTTAATCTCAAGTAGATGACTTTTGAAATAATCTGACCATTTGAAGCCTGGAGAAAAAGTTTAGCACTTTAGGTAAAGAGATGAGAATAATTAAGTGCTTGGAAACTATAAGCAATAGTTGGACAGTAGACAAAACTTGGCATTTAGTAAAGCTGTCTATGAACTATACAAAAAGTATAGAAAATAATATACATTACACATTTATGTATGTCCAGGTACCCACCCCATAGTTAATAGCTACCGCTTACTTACATTGTCTCAAACCTCTTGTCTGTCCAAATAAATAATACATTAACTATTCCATTAAAGCAGTGTCTGTCTGTCCCTTTATTTTATCTTCCTTCCCACAAATCATCCTGAACTTCATGTGTGACTTTCCTACTATTGTTCGTTGTCCTTTAAAAACTGATATCAATGGTTTCTTAGAGCGTGTCCATATTTAACTCACTTCTGTTACTCAACATAACTTCGAGCTTATGTTATAAACCTGACACATAAGAGTAGAGACAAGCAGGGCCCTCCCTGGTGGCGCAGCAGATTAAAGCACTGCACTAAGAAGATTAAGACACTTACTCATGAGTTCAATGCCTGCCCCAGAGGAGATCCACATGGCTGGCAGACCTCTCCTGAACCGCCGGCTGCTCCCCTCAACAGTGTACTTCATTGATCTGCCTGTTCTGCTCCCCACTCTGTCCCTGGTGAATCCTTTCACCCTCTGCATCTCTAGCCTGTACCCATCTGTATGAATAAATAAATAAATCTTAAAAAAAAAAAAAAACAGTAGAGACAAGCATTATGTACTACATTTACAGCCTACCTCATACTGATTTAGCAGTGGAAGTTTTTGCATTTGTAGAGCACTATAGTGTTTTGCAGACAGTATTAGACACCAGTAACTTAAGTGATTACAGGAGATAAAATATGGCTATTTTTACCCCAGCCCTTCCACTTCTGAAAGCCAACAGCTTTCTCTCTAATTCATCAGGTATGGGCAGTAACTGAGACTGCACGGCCTTTGGAAATTATACCACAGAAACCCAGTGACTGCCCAGACAGCAGTCGACCCCAGTGGGGATTTTGACTTGTACATGCCTTAAAGGTCCAGATCTCTGATTCCCTGCTAAGTTCTTTTGTCCTAGCTCTTCCTTAACCTGCCCCCCACCACTGTGGATCTTCTCTTCTTCTCTCCTACTGGAAACTTCTGGATATGGCTAGAGTGAGTCATTGTTGCCCGACAAGGAGATTAGGGAGGGTGGGTAGGTGGATGACATCCAATGAGTTTTTGATGTCCTGGAAAAGTGCTCAGCATACATCTGTTACTTACTACTATGTGAAAAGCATACATCTATTACTTACTACTATGTGAAATGCTTCTCTTTGTGTTTTATTCAGTTGACAGTTTCAGTTTGATAGTTCAAGTAATTTCTAACTTTCGGTACATTGTTAAAAATAAAGGAACCAAAGTCAGAACACAAACTTGAGTCACTGATTTAATGCCATATATATATGTATATAAACTGTAATGGCTACTCTTTCTCTTGCTCTGTCTACTGCATTGCCCTCTGAATATCTCAAAGAAGCTTCTTATAGGCAGAAAAAGAAAATGCTTGTTTACTTTAGAGGCAGCATATTCATATTTAGTATCTATGAGATTGAAATTATACTGACCTCATGTCACTGTCAACTAATGACATTTTCTTTCTGTTGTTTTGCTGAGTACATTCAGTTAAAAACAGTGGCTTCACTCAAATTCACATGTGTCAAGCTTTTTAGAATATGCTCAAATACTAACAAGTATGATAAATATATTTGTCTAACAAGATTAGGACAAAAACTGTCTATTGACATCATTGTCAATCTGTTGTCTGTATCTCATGTGACTGTTTAATAGGACATAAAGTCTAGGTAGATGGTTGTATTCTCAGATCTTATTTACAACTTGCTGCAAAGTGGCTTATTATCATTTACTATTTCTTACTTGATTTATGTAACATCTTTCAACCAGATAGCCCATGGGTTTACTTTCATAAAGCATACAACAAATATTCACACACTTGAACATCACCAAGCAATGTTACATGGTTAATGGCAGTATAGACCAAATTCTGTATGAAGCTTTTCTACTTGGTTTTGTTCTGAGACCATGGTCTGGGAAGGCAGTCACCATATTCCCTTTCATTTTGAGTGTTTATTTGCCTCTAGGTGGACCGGATCATCTTCTGTGTCTTCTTAGAAGTTGACTTCAAAATCTACAAAAAGAAAATGAGCGAGTTTTTCCCTGTAGGTGAGTAAAGCAAATTTGTTACCTTTCTGGAATTGAAGGTTGAAGAAGGGGAGACAAGGCTTATGTTTTCACTTCATTTTGCATCTTAAAGACTCATATCAATGTGATTTCCATATACCAGTCACTTCTGACAACATGTATTACAGGTTTTTAGAACATAGGGCACAAAAGGAGATCTAGATTGTAGAACTCCCTGTTCCACAAGATCATTAAATTGTCTTGGGGAAGTCAATTCATTTCTTGAATCTCATTTCCTCACATCGAAAGTAAGGAACAAAACCAAATGCCTTCAGAACATTCTTCCTCAGGCTCTAAATTGCACGGCTGTGATTTCTTCTTCACACGTTTAAATTGTTCAGGCCTGTGGCTAAAGCCACCATGTTAAACATGTTGAGAGTTGTGAGGAGCCCTCTCATTTGTAGTGAGAGTTGTAGCCACCCTGCATTCTATCCTTATCTTCCTCAGTTATCTTGTCCCAAAGTGCGATGGACATAGCAGCACTTTCTAGGGCAATCTTAGAAAGACGGATAATAGTTCATTTCTTCCACTCTTTTTTGAGGAAGTAGGCAAAATCTGAGTTACTAAAGAACCTTGAGTGATGGATTTACATCAATGGAATGCACCATTAGTTGGGTTGGTTAATTTGAACATCTCCCCCTGTTTAGACCTTATTGAGGTGTGATTAGGACCTTTTTGTTTTTAAGGTGCCTTTAAGGTGACAGTGGCCAAAGTGTTTTATGTTGGCCACAGTCAGAACAGTTTCCAGGAAATTTTAAGCTACCATGAGCCTTGTTGGTGTCTGACTTTTAGAGGTTTCTTTTGAGACTTTGATGTCCATTTGAAGTGGCTTTTCATGTGACTAGTTATTCTGGCAGCTGGGAAGGAAAGAATGCACAGTCACCCTCTTCAGCAGTCTGTCAGGGCATACAATAGGGAGGACACCCTGCCCATGGATCAGAGTAGACTGTGGGCAGCTGTCGGGAACAGCTACAGAAACTACAAATGTTCAATTCTGTGTAAATGTTCAAAGCAAGCTAAGGTCTTCTGGATAATTTGAAGCACTTTTCTATTTTAAAATTGAAAGGTGAAGCTTTTAAGTACATTTAGTTTGAGACTTAAATGAACTGTAGTATTTCCCTAACTAGAATGTAATGGAAATTCAGAAAGATTCAGTATTATGAAGAAGGAGCTTGCAGTTGTGACATTTTTTTCCTCCTTTCCCTTTGTTCTTTCCCTTGTCTCCTTTTTTCCCACTTTCTTCATTTTTAAAGAACTCTGATTAACAGAGTACATGACATACAATAAATTTTAAATAAATGGTTGCTGGTCTTTTTGGATGTGATCAATTATTTTTCCTGTAATCCTGTGTGTGTGTGTGTGTGTGTATGTGTTTTGTTGTTGTTGTTGTTGGTTGGTTGGTTGACTTGTTGGTTTTTGTTTCAGTATTCTTGTTTTGTTCTTTCTCTTTATTGGCTATATTATCACTGTGCTAATTATGCCCATATTTCTGTATTTGAGGTTCTCTTTAAAAAGTGCTCACTCCTGTAATAAAAAAAGGGGTCTTATTCAGGTGTGTTATGCAATTAATCTCATGTCTTATAATATCACAACATAATTTATGAAAATTTATAAATTTTTAATTTCTGGGGATGTCAAGAAATGTTATGACATCATGCTCAGTGCTTAAGTGAGGTCAGTTCTTCCCCTGAATCTTGAATCCTCACATCAAAAGTGAGGTTCAAAACCAAATGATTTCTGAACATTTGCATATCTTCAAAACTTATTTTCACTCTAATATATGGCAAAGATATCATTACATAAATATGACCCATTGGTATTAAAACAAATCTATCACCAGGTATTTCCAAGAAAACAATGCAAAAAATCATACAAAACAAGCTTTTTTAAAAAAAATAGGACTCTTTCAATGCTCTTAAAATATATTTAATAACTATGCAAATAAATTATTGTTTGAAAAAATGCTACTCTAAATAAATACAAAATGCATCATACTATTGAGGCAAGTGACATGTTAATAAAATCATTCTCACTTTCACATAAATGCTTTGATTCATGCCATGCTTATGAAATTATTTTCCAGGCCTATTTATAATAGTGAGTATAATTTAAAACTAAATGTCAAAATACTGCAATATTGTTGAGTATTTTTGCAATTCGGAGGCATCAATAATTTGTACATTCTAAATATGCAAAATAAATTAAAGGTGACCTTTGATGGACTATGTAGCTGTTAATCTAGATGATATATATGATCTGTCCATGATCATACCAAATTGGAATATAATTTTTCTGACTTGCATTTGTTCTCCTATAGACTGAATTATTCAAAGTGTCTCTAACTAGTTTTCTTAACCCTTCCCAATATAATAATGATAATAGTTTAGAAAAAATGTCATTTTTATGTTGTATCAGGTTGTTATAGAAAGTATTTTAATACCATGTACTTCAATTTCAAAATGAGGAATTCTAGACTAAATGTATCACAGAGCAATAAAAGACTAGAAAATATCATATTAAATTTATGACATGTGAATTATTACCAGATAATATTAATAATAGTAATACCAGCAAACATTTATAAATTGCATTCTGTCAACCAGATGCAGGCACTAAACCAGTAAATCTTCATTATAAATATAAGAAATTATATACTATATAACTCTATATTTTAGATATGGTGAATACTGCATGTTTGATAAAAATTTATTAGGATACAACCAATTTGTATCTTAAAGCTAATAATGACATCTGATACTGCACATATGAGTTAGTTTCCTTGGAGCATTTTCTGGGGAAGTGGGGTTCACATCTGAGATATCTCTGGAGTACTGAGAAAATAGCATTCCTAATTTCATCAGCTGCCCCTTATTTTTCAGTTTCACTGCTCCTCTTTCATCTAATACCTGTGAATTTCCCATAGAACCTTTTCTAATATGAGTTGAATTGGCACTTTACCACAGATCTCAAAATGAAATTCCATCCAAATCATCCTGACAGTGTGGTACTTTTTCCTGCAGGTGGGCAGGTGAGTAGCCACTGGGAATTCAAAAGCTCTTACAGCATGAGCAGTAGGGAGATGGAAAAGTGCCTGTATTCGTCAGCTAGGGCAAGTAACAGTGTGTGTGACTAAAGCAGTGGAAATTTACTTTCTCACAATTCTGAAGACTAGAAGCCCAGAATCAAGGTTTCCACAGGGTTGGTTACTTTTTGACATGTTGATATCTGCTTGTCTCCTCCAGTGAGGTCTTCCCTCTATGTGTCTGTGCCCTGAACTCTTCCTCTCGTAAGAACAATTTGGATCAGTACTCACCCAATAACTTCATTTAAGTCTTTAAAGATTTTCTAAATAAAGTTACATTCTGGGGTGCTGGGAATGAAGACTTCAGCATATGAATGTTGGGGACGGGAAGGGGGGGGGGGAATAAAACTCAGACCATAACAGGATTCATCACAGAAATACAGGGACAGCCTCAGAGAAAAGAAACCCGAAACAATTTTATTTCCATAGATTTATATTTTGCTGTGGGTGAAGCACATTTGCTGTTTTCCTTCCAGGTGTATTATTTGAAAGTCTAGGGTGGCAGTTTTATGGAATTATCACACACTTTGGTTGTAAATAATTTATAATTACAGTGCACCATTGCATGACCTACAGCAAATAATATTTGTATGACTAAATACAAATCTCTCTGCTCTTTTAACCTTGTATTTTTCCACATTTAAGATTGATTGTAGGCAGTTTTGAGCACAAATCAAACAAAAAGACAATGGCTGATCTGAAATATGAAATCAACTGTTGAGCATCTACATCTTCATAGAGAATTTAGAGATATTAATTTTTCTTATAGCAACAATGCCAAATTTATAGTTTTTGAAGCTATATGAAAAAATTCTCATGGTAGAAACTTGAAAAATATGGCCAAAACTCCTTCCTCCCCCACTTTAGTTGGTCGACCTTTATTCATAGGAGTTATTCTTAGCCAGAGGTGATTTTGCTTTGCAGAGGATATTTTGAGACTTTCGTTGTTTGCCACAATGTGAGAGGGGAGGTTTACTGGCCTCTAGTGGGCGTTTGGTCAAAGATGTCATTAAAAATCCCACAATGAGGGACTCTCCTTGGTGGTGCAACCAGTTAGGACCCAACACTGCAAGCTAGCTGCCACTTCTGTGTGAGTTTGGTCCCTAGCCCAGGAACTGACCCACATGGCGCAGCAGACCTCTGCTGACCCACCGCTGCTCCCCTCAGCAGTGTACTTCATCAATCTGCCTGTTCTGCTCCCCACTCTGTCTCTGGTGAAGCCTCTCACCACCCTTTTTCCTCTGGCTTTTACCCCAGTTCTGTAATCAAATAAATAAATGTTTTTCAAAAAATCCCACAATGTAGAGGAAAATTTCCCTCCACAAAGAATTTTCCAGTTACTGTTGTCAAGATTAAGAAGTGCTGGCCTGCTGTAACCTCCTTCTCTTATCACTTGGGCCAGGGAGGCAGTCTTTCCCTTTGGATTGGGTTTTTTCCAAAATGTCCTAGATGTTGACTTCTTCCCCAGTTTATCTGCTGCACCAGATTTGGAATTTGCACCCTCATCCGGACATCTGGCTTCCTGTACTCATGGCCTCTAACCTAGGTTTGGGTTTGCCCTGCTCCATTCTTTCTCTAGCCACAGATTCCTATGCTCTGTCCTGTGACATGCGTGTGCCCAGTTCTCTTGGCTTCCACTCACTCTTGAAACCATTCCCCCATTGCTGTCTAAAAGTCCAGTGCAATCATCTCAGAAATGTTATTAAGTGGTATATAATTTTTATGCACCTAATAAGCTAGTGTGTAGGTAAAGGCCAATATACCAAGCATGAAGAATAAATTCATCCATTGTTCTCACTCCATACAGCAGTCAAAACTTATTGCTTCTTTGGCTAAAAGTTCTTACTTTTTCATTGACCACTGTTGTAGTGGCCATCGGTTGATAAAATAATCTTGTGAG